CCCTAAAATGATTCAGAAGCAAAAGTTATACATTTATTGCTTAATCACATTAGAAAAATAACATCATCTTCTTTCTATCAGAGTTTACAAATATAGTAACATTTGTTTGCTAAATATATGCTCTGCTTTTCCTGTAGGCACTGAAAAAGATGTATATTTCCTCCTCCAACTTTTCTCACAACTGTCTCACAACTAGGTAGGCAGACGTGTCACTTTATGAGGGAGGGTTGGTTATTATAATTCCTTGAAAAAGATGCTGGATATGGCCTTGGCAATTATAGAATTGTTGAGTGTTATAAACCAAGTCTAAGCTGGCACTTAACAATCAAAATCTTTGGATCCCCCCCAAAAAAAGGGTTTAGAGTAGGACATTCCCCTATGTGTTTTAATATCTAATCAATAAGTATTTATCAGTGTTGCAATCTTGTCCTTATCCCTTTATTTATCAATAGATTAAAGCTATACCTATGTAAGAATTAGATGCAATTTGAATGGGGCACTCTCAGATGCAATACCTAATGCAAGTACTTAATGTAAGACAGGACTTTGTTTTGTTTTGGTTTCTTTAATCTCTATATCAACATTTTATCCAAAAACCTAAATACAGTGCAGCACCATCCACCTAGATTATCTGATTTAAACATTCCGGTATTATTGTACATTGATTATGCAGTCCCATTCTCACAACTTTATTTGGTACTAAAGGCATTAGCCTATAATTATCTTTATTCCTTAAGTACCAAAAGATCAAAATAATGGCCAAAACACTGAAGTTGCACAATTTTCAATAGACAGAGCAAGTTAAATGCTTCGGTTATCTGAAGTGGTGGCATCCCGTTATTCAGGAGGAATATAATCACAAATAGCACCGGCAGAACAAAGAATTAATTTTTTAATTTTTCTGAAATTCAACACTTTTTTTATGCTCAATGGCTTAGGTAGCTTGGTCTTGGCTGCCATCAAAATGTTCCAACTGAAATAACTGGCTCAGTTTGTTTATAGTCTACAGTGACACCATGTTCTAATTACGTAATGCTCATATTAATACAAACTAGGTTTCTCAGAGCAATTGTGCAGCTTCTGAGGCATGTACCAGGTGCAGCTTTATGATTAGAAGCTGCAACCAGAATTTGGTTTGCAGTTACTAATTATTGGTGCATATACGAACACCTTATCCAAAATATGGCAAAATTGTGCGTAATAGCTTGCCACATGAGAGAGGAAGTAGCAGCTATAGTAGCTGCCATAATTTAATGTAAGCGACGTTTGTTAGAATTTTTAATAGGTATATATTAATTACCCATAAGGGCTATTATTCTCCATAATTAGCTAATATGGTTTGCCTTTGTCTGTAATAAAATATTTGACTTGATCCATGGGTTAGAATGGATCAAGAGAGGAGACTGGCACAAAGTCATCAGCTTTCCATAGCTGAAAATGGTTCTATGAACATTTGCATAATTTTATTAATTTTTAAAATGTATACCTTGTTCAATATGCAGTGGGATATAAGGAAGAAATGAATTCATATGATAAGAGGTTCAAAATGTAACACAACAAACTAAAAAAAAAAGGATGGTGTGGTATACCAATGGGGATTATATAACTTCAAGATTACACGGGAAAAATTCCATTCCATTCATTATAGTTATGTCTAAGCCAGGGGTCCCCAACCTTGGCCACTTTATGACTTATGGACTTCAACTCCCAGAATTCCTCAGCCAGCATGGCTGACTGAGGAATTCTGGGAGTTGAAGTCCACAAGTCATAAGGTGGCCAAGGTTGGGGACCCCTGGACTCTAAGCCAATATAACCCATATCAGGGGGAGGAAAACAGGTCAGATCTTCTCTTTTACATGATGGTGCATGGACTTGCTGGTGATTTTCATGAGGGCCTGCTTTTAAGTGAACGCTTCCCCCATGTATGCCCAGGTGACCCAGGTTTGCATGTAAAAACTGTGTCACCTCAATAGGTATGTTTGAATCAAGTTTTTATCATCAAAATCCTTGGCCTGATTAGCTCAGTAAAGATTGTTTTCTTGGTATTGCGAACAACGCTTTCTCAACCAGGAGAAAGCATTGTTGAGATCTATTTCCTTTCAGGTTTCTATGCCTTAAATCCAACTTGGAACCATGTAGACCTGTTCCTCCTCCTGGCTACCTTAAAAAAAAAACCATCTAAAAATTCTTGTTCAAGACACACTTCTTCACATGTTATTCTGCAATGTGGTCCACGCCAGGAAATTGAATCACATGGATATCTCCTTGCATGTAAAGCAGCATCCATTGATTCAGGCTTTGAGGCCAGATATGAGGAAAAACAAAGCCCATTCATACAAAAAAAATATTTATTGGGAAGAGGCTGGCATATTTAGCAATTCATATTCATAATTACCTCTCCCATTTCCTGAGATCAGTAGTAGATGCTGGAAGAGGAAGATGCGGGCTACAAAGGATTCCTAAACTGGTTTGGGGATTTAAAATTACAGCCAGGAGGGAGGAAGAAAGGACTGAGGCACTGGTAAATTTCCAGAGACTCCTGCATAGAAGAATGGGAGAAAGGAGGGGTTTAGGGTTTCTGACGCATTATGCAGTATGAAAGGAAGATGAGAGGTAGTGCCTTGATATATTTCTACTAATTGATAGAAAAGGAGCTCTAATAGAAGTAGAAGAAAGGAATAAATAAAGGTGGAAGACCCCTGATTTACCTACTTGCATTTAAGATTACACGAAACCCTTGTCTGTAAATCAGAAAATCTAGGGTACATATAACAAATTATCTGCTTCAAGATTTGCCTGGGGTGAACATCTCAATGCCAATCTATAGTTGAGACACGTGGTTACAACATGTTTCCAATTAGAAGCAACTATTACTCTCAGGTAACAATTACTTGAATAATTCTCAAATATATTTATTTAAATCAAAATGCATAAATTTACTTTAAGTATATGAAAAGCTATTATGTACCTTTGCTATTGTTGTACTGGTTAATAATGTTTTCAATTTCTGCAAAATACTAAACTGTGGTTGGCTTAGTTCTTCAATGTAATGAAGGCCAAATAAATAAGTTCTCAAATGCTTATTTCATATAACAGATAAAATTCAGAGGATTTAAATGATTCTACTAACAGAGTTTGCTAGAGTTGTAAAAAGGATTTTTTTAAAGCAACTATTCCCAGGGACAAGAAATTAAAATGAAATTATTTATATCACATTTGCTAATGCACAAATAAAAATTTAAGAAAACGTATGTTGAAAAAGAAGATGTACCCACTCTAAATGACTGATGCTCTGAAGTATGGCACTGCCTAACAAATATTCTTCAACCAGGGATACTTGGATTGGTTACATATTTTATTCCTTACATTTGATTTGCCTGGTTTGGTTGTTGCTTGTTGGGATGTGACACCCAATGAAAGTGCTGTCTATGGAGATTCTCAGTCATCGAGGTCTTGGTTGTCCCAAAGGTGCTTTTTTCAGAACCGAAGAAGCTTCTTGGATGAGAAGCAAAACATCTTCAAGGAAAAAGCACCTTTGGGACAACAGTAGCACTATTCACCAAAATTCAGGCTACTGGCAAACCCAGAGCTGAAAGTTAAGGGGCTTGAGCAAAATAGGGCCAGTTTAGTTCAACTTGAATAGATCTGAACTTTCACAAACCTTCTGTCCCACTTAGTACCTGGACATGAGGACAGCATAGTGGTGTTCATAGCAAAAATATTTTCTTAGTAAAATAGTCTGGGTGATGAAAGAAGAATGATGAAGACTCTTTTGGATTTCATTGACTGGAAGTGACTTTTATCCGAAGGGATAAAAGAACTGAATTCAATTTTTAAAAATTGTTCAGGATTTAGGCATCACTTTGGATGAAAGATTCTGTAGCTTAGGACCCCAGCAACAAACTGGGCCATTTCTGGTCTATACTCTTAACAAACACAGTGGCATGTTTTTATTAGTGGATATTTAAGAAAGTAATCACATTTTTGAAAAAGTCAAAAATAGCATATTTAATAGCATAAATTTGACTGACCCTAAATATATATATATGTATGTAGGATATGCTTGAAAGTTGTGTTTGGGTTGTATAATGCATACTACAAAGTTTACATGGCAAAAAGTCTAAAATGTGAATACTTCTGTTAACTAAGAGGGAATGGCTGCTGCAATGTTGAAGTACATTCTAGCAATTTATATAGTCTTAAGTGCTTAGATTGTGCTTTGGTCTACATCGCAGATAGGTTTCAGATCAATTTAGCTGAGACAGATGTTAACCTTCCATTTGAAAAAGATATAAAGATTTCTAAATAAAAACTTATATCCTGAATAAAAGTGTTTATAGTGATTTTCCTTCCCTCTGTATATGCTCACTCATTAATGTCCTCAAGCTTTTTTTATAGTTATTTATTCTCGTATTTCTATTGGCAGTTGAACTGGAATAAGATCCAGTGCAAGCAGAAAACTAGATTTGTAGGGGAACAACAGCAGCACTGAACAAATTTCAAATATTTGTTGATGTCTCAGAACAAGTAGGAAAAGTCCTACCTTGGAAATGCTGCCGATTAAAATATCACTATCAAAAATAAAAAAGAAAAAATTGGATGCCTAAAATATATACAGATTTAAAGGTATATGAGAAACATTCCATATTTGGACTTTAGTTTAAAAATTAATGCATAAAACCTTAAGGAGAAATGATGGGAAAACAGCTATTCTTTCTTCTAATATACAATAAGGCTTGAAATAATCAGCATAAACTAAAACTGTAGGCTATGATTTTGCTGCTGTCTTTAAAATCAAGGTTTTGTTCCCCTGCAGTAAAAGCCATTTTAAAAAAATCCCTATGTATTTTGTTTCTAAAGTTTGGGGGAAGGGGTTGTCTTTTGATATTTGCCTGCGATAATAAACTGTTTTTAATCCATTCATCTTCTGAATGGAAAAGTAACAAAACAAATCAACCACCTTGAAATCACAGGAGAAGTAATAGAGAGATCCAGCTCACCTTGAAGCCCATTTCCATTTGCGCTGGTGCAAGATGGCGGAGGAGAAGCTTGGGGCCTGACCACAGGAGCAAAGGCGCTCTTTTGTTTCACTGCAGAGATGACATTGGCAGGTGAGAATGAGAAAATGCCGTGTGTACTGCTACAGTTTGAAGGAAGGGTGACCGAAGAGGCTGCCATGGTAGGGCTTGACGGCACTACTGCAATAAAGCAAAAATAATCAGGACTCATATTGAGGATGTTTATTGCAAACAGGAAGGGAAGAGGGAAAAAAAGATGTATCGTAGGGCCTTGCCTCTTATGGGAAGGATAATACATATATAAAAATAAAATGCTTTGGCTTGCCACGCTCTGGATAACAGGCAAACTCTTTTGTGTTGGACTTTGATTGTAAATTGAGCAGTCCAATGTGGTACTTACTTTTCCTCTTTTAGTATAGGTTTAATTTTTGAAAGTACCAATATATTGTCCGTGATCTTTTTCCTTTTTTTAAACTGTCCAGCCTCCAGAGTCACCCCTCCTTTTATCCAGTAGCTTACATCAAAGGAAATTACAACAAAGTAAGTTCTTAACAAACAGGAATGATGGAATGATGTGCCTTAGAAATAAAGACTTACTTCCGTAAGGGGAATTTGCGGTCGAGCCATTAAGGAATCCAGGGGAACCAGGTACACCAAGGTTGGGCATGCTGGCATTGCCGTATCCATTCATACTATTGCTGACTGTGTTGTAATTGGACTGTTGAGGAGTACTGCTCGGAACGTATCCTCGCGGGGAAACACTGCTTGTGTTGCGACTGTAACCTACTGTATTGGGAGGAAAAACCCATCCCAAGAAAAGGATTATTATTATGGGGCATGAAGAGTTTCTTATGTCATCATAGATTGCACAGCTAAATGTCTATGGAAATTCTCAATCATCCAGGTCATTTCTGTCCCAAAGGGATCTTGCTGTGGTCAACTCTCCACAGCCAACTTGTCATGGCCAACTTGCTGTGGGACAACTTGCCAGGGTCAACTCGCCACAGGACAATTCACGGCGGGACAAAAGTTACACTAATATCAGAGAAATGGTGGAATAGAATCATTACAGAAATGAGGCCAAAGGAGGGACAAACTGAAATTCAAATATTTTTTTAAATTGTTTTAAATAATTAAGTTGATTGATTTAATTAAGTTATCCTACAGCGAGTTGGCTGTGGTGAGATGGTCATGGTGAGTTGTCCCATTCTGGTCCCAAAGGTGGTTTTCCAAAAGGCAACTGGGCTTGGGTTTTTTCTTGAAAACGTTTCGCTTCTCATCCAAGAAACTAAACTGAAGAAGTTTCTGGGATGAGAAGCAAAACAGTTTCAAGGGGGGGGAGGGAAACCAAGAAAGTCCAGATGCCTTTTGGAAAAGCCGCTTTGGGACACAGATTGCAGACTTTTGACTGATCACACGGTGCTGGCTTATGTCATTTGCTCCTTCATCTCTTGGCAAAGAAAGGTCATCTTTTTCACACCATCTCTACTTAAACCAACTGTGATCACTCTGAGTTGTTCCTGCTTCTGGCAGACACACCCAGCAAGGTTGTTTTTTCCCCCAATCCGATTGTGTCAGTTTCACTCACAGTTGTCTTTATCAATAAATCTCATAACTTAAATGGCTGGATTGCATCATCAAAATCTAAGCTTTCCCCTTTTAAGTTTTCAGATTGCAAAGTTTGCAAAAGCTATTATAAGGTCATGTAACTTTCTGCAGAGATGTAACTCCCAAAAATGGTTTGAAAGAAATCATCCTTCTTAATATTAACAATTTCTTACTAGAAAATAGAGTTTCTTCTGTTTACCATGCTTTCATAAATATTGAATAAATATAAAAAATAAGTACATTTTTGATAGCAACATGACTCAAGAAGGCTTTGTTAAATTGTAAAAGAATATATTTTAAAATCCCATGAAAAAGATGTTGGTATCACAGAAATCATATGCAATCCAGTCCATGTCTATGTGAAAGTAAATCAGTAGATTCATTCCATGTACTATGTTTAGGACTGCAAGTATTAGCCACATTTAATTGATTCAGTGGATTTGGCTACAAACAGTTGTTTTAATATATAGTCAATGGCTATGTCCATACTGAGCATCAGCCTAGGATTTAGTGTTACAAGAATTATCTTCTCCAAATTTGTGTAATTCCCTCCAATTCTAGCCACAAGAAAGAAGCTTCTGCTTTTGTTTCAGAATCATAGCATCAAATGATCATGTTATACTTGCTTATTTCTATGTGTCAGAAATTAAGATAAAATAATTGCTTTAGATTTAGAAAACATGGAAAGCTCTTATTATTGGAAATAAAACTGTTCAGATTCCTTCACCCAGGTACTTTTGATATGCTCAAGGGAGGCTAGCTTATTTTGACAGTACTAACCCATGGTTTAAGCAGCATGTTGAAACCAGATGGAAATTATATCTTGCCATAATTGTAATATATTTTGCTATTAGCAAAATAAATTTACTGGAGGATGCTTAGTTAAATATGTCAAGTTTAGTAGAAAATGGTTATCACAATTCCTATTAACTGTAACACACAAATTTATTTTCCTCAAAAGATGGGCATCTATGCAGGTGGTCCTCCACTTACAACAGTTCATTTAGTGACCGTTCGAAGTTACAATGGCCCTGAAAAAAAGCGACTTAATGATCTTTTTTCAATGTTATGACTTTTGTAGCACCCCGTGATCACCTGATCAAAATTCAGCCGCTTAGCAACAGGTTCATATTTATGACCTTTGCTGTGTCCCAAGGTCACGTGATCCCCTTCTGTGACCTTCTGTCAAGCAAAAGCCAACGGGGGAAGCCGGATTCAATTAACAGCCGGGTTACTAACTTATCAACTGCAATGATTCATTTAACAACTGAGGCAAGAAAGGTCGTAAAATGGGACAAAATGCACTTAACAACAGAAATTTTGGTCTCAATTGTGTTCGTAAGTTGAGGACTACCTCTCATTGTAATACTTGTTGATGATCTCTTTATAATATATATATATATATTCGGTCAAAACTTTATGAAGGAAGACGTATGGTTCGACCGAAAGAGAGTGGTAGTAAAAAAGCAAATTGGAGGTTTGAGGAAAAACAAAGAAAGATACGCACTAGCAGTCTTTACAAAGTTAAATTTCAAATTTCATACTTTACAATGCTTAGTTATTATCAAATTCAAGTTATTAATTCTTTCCAACTAACACAACATGACAAAACAAAATAAAATTCAAAGAATCCCAATAATCAGGGAGCTAATTGCATAACTAAGATAATGGTTTTGTAGAAGGGTAAGATATGAATCACTTTGCTACATAATTCTTAAAACTTCACCTACCTTGGTCATTAGCCTGTGATGTTTCTGAAACATTAACTGCTAGCTGGCTGCTAAATGAATTTACTCCCATCATACCAGTATGAGCTGGAGTGTTGGCAAGGGTAGGAATCTGATTGTGGTTACGTGGCACACTATATAATGCTTCTGCAATATCGGCTGCTCGTTTCAGGATTATTTCCTATGAAACAGTAAATGGATAATTTTTCTAACATATAGTATCATTTAATCACCCTATATTTCATTTAGCAAATCTTAATAAATGATGCCTAGCGACCTATGGTTATATATCAGGCAGGATTACTGGCAAGATTACATTCCTTTTAACTTACAAACATTGTACATTGTACAATAAAAATTCTATAATTTTCCAGTAGTGAGTTCAGGGCAGAAATAGTTTAAAAATCTTGCCAGCACTTTTACTAATAAAACATCTGTTTCTTTAAAAAAATAAAACACTTCTTTTTGTATTATGCAACAAATTATTGTTTTGATATTTTGTAATACCCAACCCATGTTTTTATCTGGTGCAGCAGTTTTTTTTAAAGCTGTGATCTGCTTGATGATACCAATGTACTTGTGGACCTCTTTGGCCATTACTGTATTTGTGAGGAAGACAATTGGGATCTGCTTGCTTGTTTTGTGGGGCATGCCATACGGCAATAGCACTAATATACTGCTTCATAGTGCTTTATAGCCATCTCCAAGCAATTTACAGAATCAGCATATTACCCTCAACAATCTGGGTCCTCATTTTACTGACTTCAGAAGGATAGAAGGCTGAGTCAACCTTGAGTCGGTCAGGATTG